CCCCCACACGTCCCCAGGAACACCGACTCTGACTCTCTACGGAGGTGGCCCTCAAAAGTATTGCGTCGACCCACCTTACGCACCTTACTATATTAGGAATCCCTAAATGTATTGCATACTGTATTATATACATTCAGCCCCTATATTTTTTTATCACGGCCTTCCTGATACTCATTACCACCACCACAAGCTATAATCTGTTGTATATGCCAAGGTATGCGCTCTATCCAGGCCTGAATTCGCTGCTGAGGCAGCTCATTCCATGCTGTTTTCCATGCAGTATAAGCCTGTGCCTTGTTTTTTGGTGCACCCTTTTTTGTAGTATGACGCTTCATCCAAAACCAAGTAGGTTCAATTGCATTTAAATCAGGCGAATTTGGACACCATAGTAAGCGCTGCACTTGATGAAAATCATAGACTCGCTTTTGAAACCAATGTGCATGTGCTGGTGCATTATCCTCTTGAACAATTGTATTAGGACGATCAATAGCACATTCTTTTGCGAACGGAAGTAAGTTTGGTATTAGAATATGCTTTTGATATCGCCACCAGTCGATTCCACCCCGTGAAGTTCGAGATAGCTTGCCAGTCTGGTTATTAAACCTCCATTGGGGTTGACGACCAGGTGTTTGGCGAAGATCCATACGTCGCATACCATTAGTAAGCTCCCATTGCTCGCGAAGTTCAGGCTCTAAGACTTCATTCAAATCTTCAATAGCCTTATCAGCTTCACGCTTCTCGGCAACTGTTTCAGGGATCCAACAGTGACAAGGCCCTTTTTTATCATAGGTAAAACAACCCCAGAACATAAACTCCGAAGAGCCTTTCCAACGCTCACGAATACAAGATCGAGAGTAAGCTTCACTAGGAGTTCGCCAGATCCGATATCCACCTCGTCGGTGAAGTAGGATAACCGAGGTTTCATCTGACCAAATAACATTTTTCCAATCTTCAATTGTCCAGTGTTGACGTTCTAACGCCCATTCAAGTCGAGCCTTCTTCATCGCTGGTGTTAACCCAGGCTTCCGAGTCGGCTTGGTCTTCCGGAAGCCGCTTTTTTTGAGGATTCGGCGAACGGTTTCGGCGGAGATATTGATTCCAAGCTTGCTAAGATCACCAGCAAGATCAGCACAGGATTTTTCTCGTCCATAACGATCAAGGCGAACCTTCGAAATAACAATTTCTTGGGTCGGGGTATCCTGCTTTGTAGGCCTTCCAGAACGAGGTTGATCTTCGACATAATAGTTATGGATCAAAGGATCCTCATGTGGGTTGAATCCTCGTTGGAAAGGCTACCCTCCTTCATGGCGACCCCAGAAGGACCTGGTCCCAGGGAGTGGCGAGCTTTTGTACGAGTTCCTCAACCAGAACCCAGATCGACCTTCGCCTACTGAGCTATGGCGTCGCAGGAGCTCCTAGTTGTTTAGGAGGGGGGTAATGTCAGAGATATACATGAAGCATGGAGAAATGATCTGCGCGTGACCCACATGGTGTATATGGGTTCCCCTGAACGCGAGGAAGCTACCTTTCTTTGGCTTCCTTGCGCTACGTCTTGTATCTAGAGTCGACTATAGCTTTTCTTAATATTGATTATCCATTTACGAAACACAGTCCTCATCTAAGTATACGTGAGACCCTCACAGCGACCAAGAGCGTGCCTAGGAGCCATGCTATGGATCCTAGGGCCGGATGTGACCCTAGGAATGTGAATCTTCAAGGTAATAAGTGGGATCTAAAACGCAGGCACTAAGTGCGGCCAGCAAAACAAATTTTCCCCGAAGTAATCAGCGCCCCCGTGAACGGACGGGTCTGGCTCCAGGATCCAAGGTACAGAGCCCAGGAACAATCCGGCGTCTCGCTACCACGACCTGTCACAACAGTTCCTGGAGGACATTGAACTCCCAGAGGCCGTGAGCATGATCCCAGGAGCGACATATGTAGCTCCCTAACTCAATATATCGTAGTTTAATCGAAGAAAACAGCTAGCCCATTAGACCAAAAAAAGACATGCAAACGCAATTCAGTGCGGTGGCGATGAAGAATTAAGAGGCTGCTCATTTTCGATGGCGTTAGGGGCCGATTCAAAGTGTTCGAGTTCTCGTCATAGAAGAGCAAGAAACCGGATGGCTTTCAAGAAATGTTACTGTACTGTGGAAATCGGTGTGTTGGACGTGTGATGACCGTTGCACACGACGACCTCGAATTTTTACTTGTTAGAGGAAACTATTGTTTAATCGATCACCCCTCAGCACAAAAGGGAGGTGGTGTTTGTTGGATTTAATTGACTTATTTGTCTCCACTTGTTTTAATGTCCGTGCATTCCCTAATACCCTGCCACCCCCCACGTCTACAAGCGAGAATTTTTTCACCCTGTTCTTACAAGATTGTTCTCAGCCGGGCCTGCCAAGATATCCCGCAGACTCTCGAGTTTGGTTATATAACTAACGTATTCGGTAAGCGAGTGGGCCATGTAAACGAGTGGGCCACCCAACTCAATTTATTAATTTTAAATGCATTTATTTCAACCAAATCATAGTCATATTAATTCAAATTAACTGAGCTCTCTATCTGGGCATGTTTCTCTTCTATGCCCTGGCTGCCTACATATTCCACACCCTCGCTGGCCCCGTGTACGTGGCTGTAAACCTTCCGAAACCTGCTCACGATAGTGATTAATACGAGCTACTTGAGCATCAAATGGCTCTGCACGTAGCTCGCGAACCTGTTGAACTGTGAGGTCCCCTTCGTGAGCAATATTTCTAGTTGATCGAGTCCGTTTTTGCTTTTGTTTTTCATTGGCGGCCCGTAATTCGCGGTTTTCTTTTGCTAAGATTGTAGCGCCTTGAATTGCGAGTTGGCAACCTTTGACAAGTTGATTTAACGCACGATCTGATGGACTTGGTGGGCTTCGAGACCTTGTACGAAGTAGAGCTTTGATCGATGAAGCTTGTCGACGTAGTTGTTTCTCAGTAAAAGGGGTTTTTGGTGTAAAATTACGGCTTGATTCACTACCCCGGCTCGCGGGGGGTGTTGGAGTTCGAAGGCAAATATCAAGCTTTGAGAGTACTCGATCGGGACAAAAAGGTATTAAACCAGCAGCTGCGAAGCTATTCTTGATAGTCGCGGGTTTATATGCCTCAATTCGAGCGAATGGGTATGCCTCGAGGAAATCAAGTTTGTCGATGTGGTTGATCCCGAGGCGCATCTTCGTTTCAACAAGCCGACCATATGAGCGCTTTAATACCGCAAAACAACCGATATCAAGAGGCTGTAAAAGATGTGACAAATGTGCAGGCATACAAATTGGTATAATGTTGTTTTGTTCACAAATTTTGTCGAAATTTATAGTCAAATGACTTCCATGACCGTCGAGTATCAAAAGTCGATATCGACCTTTTACCCGCGATGAAGTTGATGGAATAAACAGATTTTTAAGCCAACGAAGGCTAATTTCATCAGAAGTCCAGCCGTTCGGGCTTACTTCGAATCGCCAATCATTCGGGAGGTTATCGAACCAAGATTCGATGAACACCTTGCCTTTGAAAATGATACACGGAGGTAACGCCCAACCCGAAGCATTTGTGCATTCAACTGCAGTCACCCACTCGCGATTTCCGGGTTGTATATGTTTTCGCCGACCGTAGTATTCAGTTCTTGTAACAACTTTCGCGGTCGCTGTTAATCCCATCGCGAAACCAGTCTCATCAAAGTTGTAGATATCATCAGGATCAATGCCGTTTTCAAGGATAGTTTTTTGAACAAGATTAAACCATTCACTAATAATTTTCGGGTCTTCACTTTTCGCGCGCTCGTAGCTATAACGTCTTGAGAATCGAGTTGATAGTTCGGGATGCCTTTTCACGAAGTTGTAAACGCATTTGCTACCGACAGTTTGAACTGGGGTAGTTCCGCGGGCCTGAAGTAAAAAATTCGCAGTTTCTCGTACAGTATCAGGCCGGGGTGCTGCTCCGCGATCATCAAGGGATAAAATCCATTTTTGAAGTGTTTCCTCTTCATTCTCTGTTAATTTATGTGAATTTGCGCGTAAAGTCGCGCGGTCTTGGTAGCCGTTTAGTCGGTATTGAAGAGTAGAACGCGGGATATTAAATCGGCGTGCTACTTCACGAAGTGAGGCAATTTCTTTATTCTTAAAAGCTTGAATTGCTAATAAGATCCTACCCTCTTGCTCTATTGAATTTTGAGAGCTTCGGGGGCGATTCGGTGGCATAGTGGATGGTTGAATTGATTAAGTGCTAATTCATGGACGCGTTTTGGAGAGGTGGCCGAACCCGCTTACATGGCCAACTCGCTTACCGAATACGTTAGTCGCTCGCATGAAGCCTGAGGCAGCATTAGTGTATATGGCACCTGTGTAGACTGCAGGAGTATACGCACGCATTACGTGCTTCTTGCCAGATCACGAATCAACGAAATACCAAAGAACAGCTGGGGGGTGGTGAGAACATGCTGGTAAAATATTAAGGGTGGGTGAATTAGCTCAGAAATCCGATTACAGAAGTTTCATCAAATCTTTCCTGAATTTGAGGGGTGCCAGATGTGAAATCATCGAACAAAATAAGGATTATTTTTCTGACAAGAAGATAATGGTTGTTTTTGTTCACACCCGCAGTTAACTGGTTCCAATGCTTACATTTACATCGGTTAGCTCCAAAACGAAATTCTAGTATAATTAGACCTTAGCTTGATGCGTTGCTATGATATCGTTGACCAGCACCTTTAACTTTGGAGAAGCCAACCGTTTTTTAGTGCGGCAGGCATCGATATGGCCGGGTCAATAAACTCACCAGGGACAGTTTCAGGTCTGCATGGGCCATAATTCTGAAAACCACGGTTTCTGCAGAGCGACACTGGTTTTCAACGCTTTAAAACTGTAGCCATTTGAAGGTTTTCAGAATGCCCGAGAACTACTTAATCTATAAATTTAGTTCCCAGATCTCCTCAGTCATTCCCAACAGCGGCGCTTTGAGGAATCTCTTAGCATGGCTTCCGCACCTCCCACCCAGTCCAATCGATCTCAATCTGTCAAAAAGTCCATGCGCCAAAAACGAGGTCGTCGCAAATCAAGCTTAATGAAAAAAGCGTCCGACTATAGCAAGATGTGCGATGCAGACGTCTGTGTGGGAATACGCCTTCGGTAAACCGGCCAAGTATTTATCCTATCAGCGGATACTTCGGGATTTTGGGCATTCCTTAGCTCGCAACTAGTATGTTTCCAACTATGCCTTTGATAAAAAGACAACTGACCTTTCAAGAATTCCTACTATCCATCCCCAATGCTAGTAACAGACCAGGGTCTGGATGAGCTCGATTAAGGTACACCGAAACAATATACATGAAGTTGTACGAACTAAGGGGAACGTACACCAGACCACAACATTTGCAATTAATATCTTGTATGCAATATTTTCCGTCCGCGAATTGGAACAGCCATTATATCCATAGATTGGAAATTAGTGAGGCCCCGAGGGTAAAGCACGATGACTTGTAGTTCCAAAGTAGAGTCTCCATACTAAAGAGTTCGCGGTATATTCTTATGTAAGTCATTTACGACTACTCGTAGGCCTGAGGATAGGGGAAAGTATATAGCCTATGTAGTCAGCTTATAGCGTGCGTGATTCAAGCGTGGTGTAGACAAAGTGACTTCTAGAGATACAGTATGGAAAAGCCTGTACGTAAATGAATGGGAAGTTTTCGTGAAGGTTCGAGAACTATTAGTTTGCAAAACCGGGCTGCATGAGCGGAATGTGATGAAATAGATGGCTTACATGGCATTGTCTCAATTCAACGTTGCATGCGCCATAGCCGATAAACCATCATGGACTTCGTAGGAGTTGAGCCTTGGCAGCGGTATTAACCTTGGTGGCAGCAGCAGCAATAGGGCCATCAGAAGTCTTGGGGGGTTGCAGGAGCTCCTGAAGCTAGATCGCGATGACTGGAAGTTTTCTTAAGGAGAATCGAAAAGCGACTGAGTAGTGGACAGATTGCGACTTCTCCGCTTCACAGTCGGGATCGGTCTGACCCTCGACGTAACCAAATTCATGCTTTGGTGTGCTAGTATTCGTCAGATCATCGTACCGATTGAAAAAACATCTATCGACGTGTTTTGGCGAGCGTGCGAGATAAACATGAAAACTGCACACCTCGAAGAGTGTGGCAGGAAGAGTACTCAATAGAGAAGAGAAAAGACCAAATGAAGTAGATTGTTGTTGTGGGGGTTCACCCCTATTCCAGTGTAGATGACTCTCTCCCTCGCCCGCCCACCATCTCTCTTTAACTACCCCATAAGGATCAATTTCACTGATCTAACATTCTGAATAACTTTTGAGTTCTCTGCGTGATCACTTTTCGTTCATACAACATAATCATGTGAATCAACAACCATTGAATTCGGCTCACCATCTTAGATCTCCACCCCCTCAAGAAGCTTGGCAACGTTCTCATGGCGAGGCTTCAATCCAATACGGAATGGAACCGGAGAGCGCCCGGAGAGACCATCATACTCCTTGAGATCGATAGGTTCACCTGGAATCTCGTACATATCGAATGCCCAAAGCATCCGAGAGATGGTCAGCCATATTTCACGCTCGGCAACGAGCATACCAGGGCAAATGCGACGACTAGACGACTTTAGCATCTTATCCGCATCAAAGGAGGGAGCGAACTTACCCGGCACCGAACATCCAGTGATCACGCTCCATGGGATTGGCAACATTGGCGCTGTCGGCCGAGGTCAAGGGGTCATTGATATAGCGATCAGGCTGTTTTCTGTTAGTCTGTGCTTCGAAACACTTTTCCCAGGCTGACATACATTGAACTTTTCAGGATTGGAGTGGCGGGTAGAGTCGTTGTGCATGGTCCATGTGTTGAGGACGACCACTGTGTCTTTAGGGATATATTGGCCTTCATACACAAAGTCATCTGTGGCAACATGAGGCGTGCCCAGCCAGAACGGGTTGTGAACACGCTCTACCTCCTTGATAATGGCGTGGCAATAGGGAAGATTCTTCTCGTCCTCGACATCGGGAAGACGATCCCTGCCGACGACACGGTCAAGCTCCTCCTGTGCCTTTTTCTGGATTTCAGGGTACGCAGGGATGAGTGCCGAGAACCATTGCATAATAGCTGCGGTCTATGAAAAGTCAGAGATCCATCATTGATCGACCGGCAGAAAACGAACCGTTTCAACACCACCAATCATGAAGGCAGATGCCAGAATTGCCATGTCCAAGTCGTCCAGATTCTCCTTTTTGCGCACTTCAACCATAGTTTTGGCAAGACAGTCGGTGACTTGGCCTCCAGACTTCATCTTCTGCTCAATGTCCTTGATGATACCGCCGTATGTATCAACTAGGCCCTTGTGAAGCTTCTTGCCACGTTGGTGCATAGGTGTCGGGATGTATTGCAGCAGGGACACGAAGTCAACCAGGTTTGACATGGGACCAGTGCAGTTCCTATATTCATCAGTATGTTTGCCATGTACTTTTCACTGCAAAAGTTCAACCTACATAAACTCACGACTGAGCTTCAAAGCTTGAGCAACAAGAGGGTGGTTGATACTGTCTGTACGGAAGCCAAAAGTGATGGTAGTCATGTTGTTCAAGGAGCAACGACCTGCGTGGGGCTGCAATTGTAAGCACCAGAATTTGCGAACGAATAGTTTGACATACTTGAGGGTTGACAGGTACCAATCCGCCTTTGCTTTCCTCAAACAATGCTTTGACCAAAGAAAGAGACTCGCGGTCCAAAGTGGGGGAGTATGAGTCCACAGCACGCTGGCTCAACCATGTAGTGGCAATGCGGCGGTGCTTGCGCCTATTTTTTATTGACCGTCAGCGAGACACGTTGTTCCAAATCTTGCAAAAAGACTTACCATCGATCGTTGTATGGGGTAGCAGTGATACCTCTGCCAGCGAAAACAGTCTGACTCTTGATATACATCTCCTTGCGGGACGAGAACACATTGCCGTTGGTGACCATGAGATCCTTTGCAACATTGGGATCTGACACAATGACAAACAGCTGGTTTCCAAGCCAAATAGAATACAATTTGCCGAACTTCTTGGCCCAGAAGTCGAGAGTCAGTTCAGGGAATCTCGTCAGGGCATAGAAAGAACCTAGCAACTTTGTGAGCTGGGTTCATCAGTCAAAGTAAGAATTGGCCAATTACCAATGATTGGAAGCCCCATAGGGCCTTTAGGAATACTGTGACCTTGACCATCATTCCATGGAGTGCGCATCCAAGCAAAAAGAGACACAATTGCAACTATCGAAACGGTCCAAATAGAAGTCGAGCTGACTTCAAAAAAGCTTCCCTCATGAACAGCTATCTCCAAAGGAGATGAGCTAGGGAATGCGTAGGTTGAATTGCATATGAGGTCCATATTCTCAAACGCAGATTTTTAGGAGTCTAATGGAAGAAAAAGCATGAAGCAGCCTAGAGACTTTATAGCCTGAGCCAGCTCAACTCGCCTAGATCTCCCTCAACGGGAACCCCGTTTGAAAAGAAAACCCACAACATCCTCCCGAGTTGGATCAAGAGTATCCAGTTGCCTTGGCCTACCAGTCAGCCTGTGGTGAATCCATTGGTTCCAATTTCATCCACGAAAAAAGCGGCCCACTTGAATCACCCAGCTGCTTATTTGGCCCCATCTTAGCAGCGTGTCATCAAATAGAAGTGAGTGCATTGACTTAGTTCGTACTTCTCATCCCACTCCATTTGCTCCATATGCGCGTCGTCAACGAGACATTTTAAGGAGGGCCTTTCAGCCACGAACTCCCAGAACAAGATTTCTGAAATTGTAGATCAAACGTTATACGGAGTCCATAGACACACTGAAATAGAAATCCACCATCAGACCAGTATGAGAAAGTAATGGGTTCGGATTTGATCGTATAGTGTCAGGCCGAGGGGAAAAGATACAGGAAGAGACGTTTCTAACCGAGATGGGGCCTGAAGTGTAGAAAATGGCTCCATCAGTGTTAGCTTTCGGAAGGATTCCAGTGCAGCTCTAGAGAGAAGCACTCAGTAACGATTGACTGAGCGAATCGGGCTGTGCTTAAGTGGAGACTGATTATTTGTATGAACCAAAATTGGTATCGTCCAGATGGGGGAAATCAGTAAATGTGGATTTTCGGGGCTTTCTACAGAGCACCACATAGTCCGTACTATATCTGGGACTCTATTTGCAATTTTTGAACACTTCAAGAACTACAAGCTCCGCGAGGGAATCGATCAAGGGAAGCGGCCTCCCAGAACAACCTTGGAAGATCACACGTAGTTCCTGTTTACGGTTCGTGGTATTTTTCTACGTTGGCTTCATTCGCCATAGTCAGCTCTTTTAGCTGCATGAAGAAAGGTCGGCCAATTAGAGGTCTTGGCCTTTTTTTTCCGCGTTGGAAATCTTGGCGATATGCTGGTAGCGTTTTCGGCAAATTTTTCCTCCGCCCGGCGCGAGCGCTCTCACCCCGTTTTAACGCACATCCTCGTTTTAAGCCCCAAAATAGGATTTTTACACTTTCAAAGAGCCACCACTCTGCCATTTTTGACCTGAATAGTTCCGAATTTGAAGATTAGAATTAAAGATACCTTAAGAATATTTACCTTTTTGAAAAAGATCTCAATTGCTCTGATTGTTGGGAAATCCAAGATTTTACACTCCCTTTTGAAAACTAAAAATCAATTTTATCTACTGAAAATGACCTTCAGAACCACGGAGTACATTAACCATATTAAATCTTAGATTTACAAAGCTATTATCAAAAAAAGTTCAAAAGGTTCTATATATATTAAATCTATATGATAAACCATATAAAAAAGGAATTGAAATAGAATGGAGCCCATTTTGGGGCGTAGAACGAGGGGCAGAGCGAAGTGACGAGTACGAGTATTGCAGCTCTAGTGCATCGCCAACAATTCGTACCTTCAAGCATATGCGGCGATCTCGGGCTACGGAGTACTCCGGGTGATGATCCACACCGATGTCTTGTTTCTTGAAGGTTCAAGGGTCCAGATAGCCGATTGGGCGTACTTTTGTACATTTTGGCCCCCACCAGCGGGAGTCGCCATCCTAGACGGGCCGGCTCGTTCTCAAAAAACCAGTAAGATTGCACTGGTGGCAAATTACACAGCATGATGCGTCTTCTTTGCAATATGTGTGTCCTCTATTGGAAGATTTTCGGGCACTGTGTGGTCCACATGATTTGGCTTGATCTGACCTCGGGAGATGGATCGGGTGATTCCATCGGTGCTATTGGAGGACCCCCATCCCGTGGATTTTGGAAATAGCCTCATTTTCCCGTTGTGTGAAAATTTTTTCAAATAGCTTGTGTCAGGCTCTTTGTACAAGCTAGCTCGTGTGTGGACCTTGCCCGATAAGCTGACGTGGCTCTAGAACTAGTATGTACTCCGTACGAGGTCTTTCAATTCTCGTCTCAAATTCGGATGTCATATTTAGTCAAAAATTCCAAGGTTTGAGAGCACCCTAAAAAGAGGTTGGCGTAATCCTTCGTGGGAACTACAGGGAAGTCTCTTCCCTCTTGCCCTGAGGTAGTTGGATCATGGCTGAGCGATTGTGCTCGAAATCATTTCCAGACTAGTGATAAATTTGTAATTTTCTTCACAGCAACTCATAGTAAAAACTTGATTAGATTTCCATTAACTTAGACGGATATTTACTCCGTATGTAAATATGGGTTTTCGTGTTCAGGAGTCCTGATACACATTATAATTTTCAATTTTTGTTCTTTCTTGCCATTGCATATGCTGAGTCGACGTTCTTGATCAATTCAATATGTCATCTAACATATCTCGTCTTCCTCCGCCTCCCAAGATCATCACATTCTTCCCGGATATCACCATCATTTTCCATTTGGCGGAGGAAGAGCAGCCGCAGGCTTTGGTGGGCTTATCCAGAATACAGGGTACCGGCGTTGGATATTGTTGACCAACAGAGCCACAGCCAGAATCATTGTCGAGGAAAGCAGTACCACTGGTAGATAATACCACGAGATATCCCACACAGCATCATCTAGAGCGGGCAGAAGGGCTGTAGCACCGGCAGGCGGATGAGTTGTCTCTGTGACCTGCATCACAACAATGGCAACTGCTGACGAGAGCGCGCCTGCCAGCCAACGCAAGGAATCAAAACGAGCCTCATTAGGCATCAAGCTGAACAGTTTGGTAACACATAGACCGACCAAAGCGCTCAGAAAATGACCAAAGATGAGAGAACGGGGTTGAGCAAGGGGACTTTCGACGGCACCGTACACCAGAACAGCTGATGCGCCCTGTTTGATCATTAGCTACTCATTGAATGGACAGAACAAGGGGAGAAACTCACATAGGAGGCAATCAAGCCAGGTACACCACGGTCAGTGAAGTATTTCGAATAGTTGAAGATGGCTTGCACTGTGCAGAGACCAGCGAAGGCAGCGATGAAGGACCAGAAATGGACCAGATACTTGGGAGGCGGCTTTGGTGCCTCTGCACGGTAGCCTAGAAAATGGCTGATGGGCCTAGGAAGGCGAGACAGCAATTCCCGTTCTGACAACATTGATTTTTGAGCAGATGAGATAAAGGAAGAAATGCAAAGGTTCAAGGCCAAGAGGGATGCAAAGAATTTCTGGGCACTCTTAGCGGGAGCGAAATCGGGATCGACCTTTAACTACTCCGTACTCCGTAAGGCAAACCCACTTACTTGCCCCCTGGCGCTCAATTTAGCGAGCAATTACAAAGTACGGAGTAGAGGCGAGTCTAGTCCCTTTTGATCTTTTTTTTTTTTGTTCCTTCTTTGTTCTTTCAGTTTGGGCTTACGGAGTACTCTGTACTCCGTACTTTGGTTGTAACATGGAAATACTTATTTTTTCTGCTTGTACTCATATTACATTTAGCCCTTGCTCTGGTTGACTTTTTTAGCAGGCTCTAAATGCCCCTCCATATTCCATCCTACTGAATCACATTTGAAATTATTGTTATTTTCTTTTAAAAAAAAAACAAAACAAAAACAGTCTACGTAGCAAACAATGAAGACGTGGCTTTTACGAAAAATGCGCTAGGTTTGGATCATTCCTCGACCATTGCTTTCCAGGTCCATTTTTTTGAGGACCTTTTTTGCCAACGAACAGCTCGGAAAGGGCCCGACCGCAAGACGCAGGCCACAGATCCCGCCAGATCCCGCAACGGCCAGGGGAATCGAGTGGGGTCCCGAAATTCCCTGAAGCTTGACGGGAACGCCGAAAGCAAATTCCTCGGTGATTGCCCGACTTCAGAGAAATCTGATGTGGATGAAACCTCGGAGAGATATTTTCAACCACATTCTCACGGTTCCAATCATTAGTCGAAATTGGGCGCTCGAGTCCTCTGTTCAGCTACTGATATCAACGGCCCCCAAAAAATCCTCTGCTAGCTCGGTTTTATCATTACTATGTTTGATATTTTGTTTTTCACCTCTAATACATGGATGACGAGCTCTAACAGTGTATAACTACGAAATATCCTGAGTTGAATACATGAGGGTATTCATGCTGCACAAGCCACTTAGTGGATAAGCCACTCGGTGGCACAGCCACATCTTGGCGTCATGGTTCATGAAGCAGCGGTCAGTTGTTGATGCCTCTCCATGCTCCGTACACACTAATTACTACTCCGTACTCCATGTGAATATCGTCCGTTCGGTGAAGGAATAGGTAAGCGACAAAGATGTCTTGGATCCCACAGGTGGATCCGGCTCTCTCCATTTCCCTTCATTTGCCCAGCACGTGCAGCCAATACCGCGAGTTTATTGTCTTTTATCTCTTTGCTTTTCCTCACCACTTCATGCAAGCCTACTGTACTAGTGGTCTCGTCAGCGATAGTCTCGATACTTGCATGTGAATGCATCGAAAATTGAGGCATTTTCGATTGACTCCTCGAAAGATCACGACCAGGAAAAGTCCAGACACATCCACATAAATATGGCTTTCTTCCGTGTTGACCTGAGACTCCTAAAAATATCACACTGAAAAGGTGCAATTTGAAGTACCATTTCCTCTCACCTTTTTTCTTTTGTGGTGGAAAGTATATATTAGCAGTGACTTCACACCATACTTACCTACAAATATCAACACATTGCTCGTCGATCTTTCAACTTCCATTCATACAGACTGTACTTCGTACTCAGCTCCAGCAACATGACTTCTTCGAGCCAGGAGGATACACGAAGTATGTACCAGTTCATCATTGTAATGAATCGCACTGACACACCAGGCAGTCTCTGGATTTGAGCCGTTGCTTTCCCCCGAATACATCCAACACGAGATTCCAGCAGTCAGTTTCAGTGAAACTTCCCAAAAAGACTCGTGTAACTGACTTATTTGTAGTCAGCCGTCTCTCTCGCAACCGTTTCCACTGGCCGACAACAGGTGATTGACATTCTTGAGCGGCGAGACGACCGTCTCCTCGTGGTCGTGGGGCCATGCTCAATCCACAACCCTCAAGAGGCACTGGAGTTTGCTTCCAGACTGCGAGAACTATCCGAGAAGCTCTCTACAGATCTCTGCATCGTCATGCGAGCTTACCTTGAGAAGCCGCGTACAACAGTGGGGTGGAAGGGGCTTGTCAATGATCCTGATATCGATGAATCCTACGACATCAACAAAGGCCTGCGTATTTCCCGCCAACTATATTCCGATCTCACCAACATGGGCCTTCCCATCGCCAGCGAGATGCTTGACACTATATCGCCACAATACCTAGCAGACTTCATCTCCTTCGGAGCAATCGGCGCCCGCACAACAGAATCTCAGCTCCACCGTGAGCTAGCCTCCGGCCTAAGTTTCCCCATCGGTTACAAAAATGGAACGTCAGGGAATGTCAATGTCGCAATTGACGCCATCGCGGCCGCTTCAAAGCCGCACACATTCCTTGGTGTGACCAAAGAAGGCATGGCAGCCGTAACTCGCACCGCTGGAAACGAGCACGGTCTTGTCATTCTCCGTGGGGGCTCTCACGGTCCCAATTACGCAAAAGAGCATGTCAGCTCTGCCAAGCAGGCGCTGAAACAGAAAAAACAGCGCGAGAATCTACTGATTGATTGCTCACACGCTAACTCTGCCAAAAATTTCCGCAACCAGAGCGTGGTGGCTATGGACGTTGCGAGTCAGATGGTGAGCGGTGAATCTGCGATTGTGGGCGTGATGATAGAGAGCAATCTCAACGAGGGCAATCAGAAAGTGCCACCCGAGGGTCCTAGTGGACTTCGACCTGGCATTAGCATCACTGATGCATGCATCAGCTGGGAAACAACCGTGGAAGTCTTGCAAAATTTGGCGAACGCTGTTAGGTCCAGACGGGAGTACGTGCAGTCTTTGCTTGACTGCACTAGCAAATCGGCTTGGTTGGAGACCCAATCTGCAGGCATCATGGCGTAGTAAATAGTCTGGCTCAGAATCAATTGTTTTTTGCTTTTTTGTTGATCGCGCAGATGAATTCAAACAATGTTCTTGATTGGCTGGTTTTTTGCTGTAGGACCTCTCCAGGGGTGTCGAGATCTCTATCTCGGTAGCCTGATTGAATGAAAAAAGTAAATTGTAAAATGTGATTTCCTATTCAACTTTAGACGTGGCAGTCGACTGCAGCGGAAAAAAAAGCCTTTGGAGACTGGCGGTGATAGTACGGGGTAACTTGTACCCCGTAACTATCTGTTGGGTAGCTCAGAGACTGCCAAAGTGACGGGGGCTGGGGGCACATGCACTGGTACATACTCAGGGGCGCCCACTCCAAATCGATCGGCAAGGGGTTAAAAATCAGGAAACATTGGAAGGTAGGGTCATATCGCGCGGCCTAAAATTCCTTGAAAGTTCAATAATAGTTGCTGGTGGCTATCCGAAATTCTCAACCAACGTTTTGCAAGCTAGTTTACCTAAGTGGCTTGCTGCCCCTGAACAATCGAAATTGCGAGCTTCGTTTGGAAATAGCCACAAAATTTTTCAAAAAGTAATAGAAATGAGATTGACGAAAGCCCGTCGATGGGTGAGTTTAGTGATAACCTTAGAAAAGTCCGAACATCCTATAGTTTACTAGTATAGGTCGCGTTCTTGGGTATCCCGAACTTCGACAAATCCTCCGTACTCTTCCCGTCAACTGCAAGCTCCGCCAGAGCACGACCAAATGCCGGCGCAAACGAATTGAGCTAATAGAATAATCAATCTCCAAGCAAACATTCTTCTAGGTTCCCGGGAACTTAAGTCTGACCAGAGCATGATGTTATTGCTGCCTATTTTTTATTGAAGATATAAATCTAAACAAATGTTCCCCCATATGCCGTTCAGAGACTGCTCTAATGTACTGCATAAAGGTATTCAATTGAGTAAAAGTGAGTGCACAACGAATAAGTTCATCTTTCTGTCACTGATCGCTGTTTCAGATGGAAAATTTTCAACCGTTCAGCGCCAACCAAGTTACCGTTCAAGTCGCTAAATCCGCGCTTTGCGGCGTTTAACTACTCCTTGAATCTCTCAATAATGTTCGACTCACCAGTGAGCTCTCGACAGAATGATACGATCGAATTACACGCAGTGGAAAACATAATGCGGAATTTATTATCCCGATTAGAATCGTCAAAGCTCTACTCTTTCAAGCCTGGTCATGAAGTGCACGAATCTCTTTGCCCGGCACTCAGAAATTATAGAGACGTATGCCTTGACTTATGGTGGACTTTTACCAACTCCAGACCATGTTCAGGCAATTATGGTTACATATGCGGGGTGGATGAGAGCAGTCCCAACATTGGAGTCGCAAGCATGGCAACTAACCGGAAGAAGGTCCCGTCTGACCAGAAGAAATTCTACGAGAAGACTGGCTTCTACATCAACAGCGGTGCCTACGTCCAGCGTCCTGAAGTTATCGAGAGCTTCTACTATGCCCACCGCGTTACCGGGAAGGAAATTGCATGTCTTCATCATACCACTATTATGCTTATTCTGATGGAATTAGCTAACACATCTTTAGTATCGCGACAGTGTCTGGAATGCATTAGTCGCAATCAACGCTACCTGCCGCACTGACTCCGGTTTCGCTGCTGTGTCGAACGTCAACCAGGCCAATGGTGGCTCAAAGTACGACAACAAAGGAGAGCTTCATTTTCGCCAAGGTCTTGAAGTTCTAGTATCTCGCTCATTCTGAGAGTAGGTGTACTGTATCTAGCCCTGTTCGTTGAATCATTGCCAATCAGTGAAAATAGATGCCGCATGGCAGGTCCAGGAGGGTAACAAGAATACCTTTGTGTTCAACACTGAGGCTCACCCTATCAGCGTCGTGCCCGACTAGATACATACCTACAGTAATTATCGACTGCTTGTCGTCTGATGAGTAATCATCAACAGAAAATCTGCCCTACGCAGTAGATGCCCTTTCCTATACTTACGGTAACATACGACTATAGTTTGACTGGGCTGTTCTGTTGATTACTACAAATTGCGTATAGCATCTCAAAGAGTCTCTGAGAGAATGAATTCACTTTAAACAAGTAAATTAGCAGCAGAGGAGATTCAAAGTGATTGCACGTGAAAAACCGCATGGGTAACTCGAAAATTGCGTTTACGAAATACTCACAGACTGAGCATCTATATAAGACGGCTATTGCTTCGCCATTACATGGATATTAAACGCTTTTCCACGGCTTGTGTTCTAGGCCAAATTCGGTGTCCAAATAAATTCGGTCATTGTGTCAATCTAATAAACATGATATTGAGACGTTTTGACTCTAAAATAATCATCCACCTCAGAGCAACACTAGAAGTGATGAATGAAATGCGAAAGCAACTTACACGCCGCAGGATTTATGCACTCTTGATACACGACTCGCTAGGCTAACGGGGAGTGGTGCCAGCCAGCTGACTTAGCCTTTGTGTGCTATATTGTTCCACTTGAACTGATGGGACTCAAAATGATGTGGAAATGTAGATATACAATGTAGCGCCACGAAACGAGAAGAAATGAAGCTTTCTCGTAGTCAGGGATCTCGGATATGCAGTGTTGGCTCATCGCATCATTTCGTGCATCTCTAGAAATTTATTTATCCTATTAATTACAGCTCCCAGGAAGACAGCAAGGTAAGCGCGGCTTCCTGGGAACGTAGAATCCCATGCCGTTATGACCATCACCAAGCGATAACAGATGAAAATAAAAAACGGCTTGACTACTGCGCAACTTATATTTTCATTATTTTCATTCAATTCCAGACCCTCGTCAAAAATTGAGTTAACGAAAGGTTTTGATTTTATCACCCTCCTATAACAACTTCTCCAACACACTCAAAAGTCCTGATTTCATTGAAGCTTTTGTGTCGATCATCATGTCTGATTATCGGCAACGGAGCCCCGTCGATCCCGCGTTCCTCAGCGATAATAATAATTATGATCCCATCTCGATTGACGATGATTCTGATACAGACACAATCCGCATGGACTCACCTGAGTTCTGGAGCGGAATAAATGCAGAAAAGGCCCCTGTTCAGAATGCGCCACATAGCGTTATGCTTACCAAGTCTACTCCGGTTTCAACATTCCTGAAGTATCCCAGTTGCGAAAAACTCGATTGCACCTGCCCCGTTCAATACCCAGCCTCAACGCAAGATCAGCTGGCAGAAGAAAATTCTGAGACCAATGAAATTGAATCAAGTGCGTGAGATCTGCTATTGATGGATATGTCCCTATGATTGGATGGTACTTAGACTGACAAGCAACAGTTCCAGGCTCAAAGCAGAGTCAGAAATCTGATAGCACTGGTCCAAATACCACGGAATTTACGACTCTGTCGTACGAACAGTTCAAAGGTCTCGGAGATTCCGACCAAAGAAAATACTTCGATATCATGACAAGAGCTTCACACAATATTGCATTTCAATGCTACACCCAAAGTGTTGCAGCTCACCTCAGTCATATACTACCTCAGGATCCAGGGGAGAGGCACTTAATACTTTACACGATGTCACCGGGAGTTGGTGCACCTGGGGAGGTGGCGATTACAGAAACAAATGTCCAGCAAGGACATAGCCAAGCGGAAGATCAGTACTTGATAAACGTCTGTGCCACTGACCTGAAAGAATCCTATATCTAGAGCAAGATAGCAAGATACACAGTGCCAATGAACTCATTCTTATCGTCATGCCGATACGCCTACCAGTGTCAGCAACCTTGATGTTGCTGAAATGAGCGCCTTGAGTCGCTTGTGAGATTGACAAGCCTGTGTACGGGAGAATTAATAGAATTATTAGGGGCAGCGGCTGAAAGGGTTCTTGTCGCTCGTGTCGTTGCCCTCAAGACCAATCATGTCGAATTTCTAGTCTTTGGCGTGCGTTGGCGGCTCGGCTGAGGGCTCAAATTCAATGGGCTTATAGCCTAAAGCCGCGTTCCAATTTACCGATTATCCCAAAATCGTAACTCGCGGTATAATCAGATATATTCCTAGTATAAACGCGGGTCTGTGAAGATTTACAAGTTTAGGCGCAGTACGGGTTTGAACCGCCTTGACAACTGGTACCCACCGCACATGTAACACGTGGGGTCCAGGTATTGCCGATGCACTGCTCAAGCACATTACCATCGCATTTCCAGGCGTTGTCCACACAGGTCATGCATGGGCCGCGAGTATAGCTAGCAAATGAGCCTGTTGCCATCCAAGTCTGAGCCTCGGACGCAGGCGAAGGCAGAGCAATGGTGACCTCAGCAGTGCTTGACGTAAGGGCATCAAACTCATAAACCTGCTCATCAAAAACCTCCCATGAAATCTCTACGTGGCCAGCGTGACAAGCGTCTCTGGACAGCTCTTGAAGCACTTCGTGGCTGAGGTCAATACCCGGTGCGGCGCTTGGATTCCACGTTCTGCTAGTTGAAGGGCCCGAACTGCAGCGCCCACAACCGTCTCCGATAAAAAGAGGCAGGGAGGACGGTTTCCCGTTGACAGAGACAACGACCTTCTTGCCACAGTATAGAGACAAGTCTGTATGAAGTAGGGTGTTGTTCATTGCAACCAGATGATTAGAGTCTATCTTCTCGAGGGAGAGTCCAATCGTTGGATTGCACGCAACGTTGCCTTGGTTCATGGAATCGTATGACCAGCCACAGACATGGGGATCCTTGACATCATAGTATTCAGTAGCGAATCCCTGCCCACTGTAGATGACTGACTGAGTAGAAGCGCCGATAACGGAAAGCAGACAAGCTACTATAGAAAGTTCGAACATCGTATCACTGTTGAGGCAGGCTGAGGACAACTTATCGTGGTTTCTGGAGTGTGGTCAGGTATATACCAATTACTATTAAATGTCTTGGATTCTCTGTGGATGCATTTTTGAAACCTTGTGTGTTGGAGTCTCGGATTGCTGTTTATTTATGTGTTTATAATGTCTTTTGGCTGGACAACCCAGACGGCAAGAGAAACTGAGTAACCAAAAGTTTAAGAGCAACGATTGTCTCAAATGCGAGTCGAGATTCAGCTTCCGTGTTCCAAGATTAAAGCATCAGCGAAGGAATGTACATAAATGCGGCGGCAGCCAATCGTAGTTCCTAAGCCCAGGCTCTTTTCTGTAGAAACAAATATCGCATGTCTTAAGATCTGGTTAGTAGTGTCTAGGCTAAGTGTCACTTGAAGCAAGCGTGAGGAGAAACGCTAACCGCCTCTGGCTCGTATGAAGCCTGAGGCAGCCGAACTAAAAAAAGGGCAGGGTGAAATGCCCTGAACGAAGGAACGTATAGTTGGGGGTGCTTCGGTATTAGGAAATGTGCGTGATTTAGAGTGGGGTCTATTGTCTGGCCAATAATATTCAATCAACATCCTTCATCTTTCACAAGCAAACGAATGAATGAATTCCGTTTTTTATTATTTTTCGCCATGCTCGACTCAGATTTCTAAGACACCAATTAATTGGTCGTGGAAAGCATCGTTGAGTCTAACTTCCAGATGACCGTTGCATTTTACTGTATTGTTCATCAACATCCCTCTCTTCAAACGGTGTCTTTACACCATATTTTTGCCCGGTTAACCACCTCTTCTTTCTGTTGCCCGCACTTACTTAATTCACTGAAACACTGTTGATAATTTGAGGTCCGACGATGAGGGCAGCTTTTATGTAAGTACATCGTAATTTTACAACACGTCATTTTCGAAGTCGCCATGAACCAAGGAAGATGGTATGGTTGATGGCAAATTGCCTGTTCTACTATCTCTAACCATAAGTGTGCCGTATCGCTATTTTCGCATTGAAATAATTGCTTTTCAGAGACACTGGGAGAACAGAGGTTGTGATAAAAATATAAACCAGGCTCTACAGTGAGACCTCGAAAGTGTTCAAACCCCGTAGACCCACACCCCAATCATTACATAATATACTGCCGTACAAAAACTCGACAAATTCAATACTATCCAGTATAATGTATACTAACTTATAAAGACATTGAAAGAGAGTTGAAAAAAAGCTTTCTGAAGCTACATAAGTGCGAGGAATAAAGGTTTAGGCAGATAAAAAAGCGAATGTATGCGACCTATAGCTAGGCGGTGTATCTACAAATGGTAGGCGGTAACTTAGTGGATCTGGAGGAGGTCTCACTATATATGACTAGACCTCGCCATATTGCTTTTTCGGGTACCCCATGGGTACCCGCGAGCCCGCCAAGAACCCATGAGACCGTATATTACGGAATAACAGACGTAATACAGACAGTAACTCATATAAAGATATGTAATATTGTATATATTACGTGTATTCAAATTTCTTGGCGGGTTTTGGGTCAAGGGTCGAAACCCAACCCACGGTTTTGGCGAGGTCTATATATGACATTATGTGAGCTACACTGGGGAAGGAAAACGTCAATGAGCGCCCCGAAAGGCTCGTGGGATCTCTGTGCAACATATATGTTGTGTCAATCTAGCAAAATGTTCTGTTGGCTAACTCATCCTAAGACATGTGATTTAGCATAATTGACTTCTCGATCAATCTAGAGAAAGTCTTGATCATTGGAAGATCTAGAAACCTTAAACGATTTATGGCCCAGGACATCTTTGGTACGACGTCGGCAATAACTTCCCGAAGAGCTGTTTCATGGTCCGGCACTAACTTCATGGCCCTCCGCCTACGAAAAGGATCGCCCCTGTTTAATATCAACATCACATCTTGTGATCTTCTCTATCACCTCTCTTTCCAAAGAGATTCAACAGTCGCGTAAGTAGCAATTATGGGTACTAAAGTACGTACTATTCGAAGGAACGAATGAACTACTGAGCTCACTGTCTTAGATTCCGCGAGACTGGACCAATGATCCCGAAGAATTAAGAGTCAACGACTGGAATGCTGGTGGCGATTTTGAAGAGGTGGTAGATACCAATGTCTTAGGGAAAGTTCGCCCTATCATGTGCAGCGGCAGAAATTCCGATGATTTCCTGTATATGTTCGAGGCGGGCGGCACATTCTATGTCTGGGATCAGATCGAAGACACAATATGGCGTATCTGCCAACCGAACACTGAAACTAAGATTATTGAGGTAATCGGTGAACGAGGACTGAAAGGACTGGGTTTAGATGCACTTGCCGAAGTTGAGGAGGAGGAGGATTAAAAAGCTTTCAACTCCTAGTCGGTCGGCTTATCCTATCGTATGTTCATCGAGGCCCACCACGCACCATCAATCACCAGCGGTACCCTCAAAATACTGAGGCATCAGTATTATCGCTCCCTAGACTCTTGTGCTGATATTCCGCCATGTTACGTGAAGCCGACTCTGCAGGCACTCTACTCAATCCCAGGAGGTCTACGGCTGCTTCATGATGGCTCCCAGACCTTTTAACTCAGCCGGGCGCACCTGTCCAAACTGGCCCAATCCGGTCTACTCCGACTCAGACTGCCAGGTCGAAAGTTTTTCTTCTGTAGGCCTGGGGTGTATCACGGGTATGAGGGGCTGCACGTGATCTAGTGATTGGGTGGAGGATTTGCTATTTTCTTGACCAATCATATTATTTACACTCCTCACCTTTAGGCCTTCCCTTCGCTGCCGGTTTGGAGAATGCACCCAATCAGCAAAATCGGTACAACTGAAGTTCAATATTCTTTGGATCTTACCCACATGCGCTAGCCGTAAGAGAGAAAGCTTGGTCACCCCATTCACCCACCCAAGGAAGTAAATTTGGTACCCAGTCCCCCTGCTCGTGAAAGAGTTTCCATGTTTTGCGACCAGCATAAAGATGGTAATAACAAAAAGCACTGTACCTGTCGCGCCATTCAAATCTGGCAAGGAACCCATCAAACCCATCACTCCCTGGAGTGCGTTCCCTTGGCCCAGAATGGGATTCGAGTAATTTCTGGACTCCTGAATCGGGAGATCGTTTGGCTGTACGGGATGGACAGCGCAATATCCAATAGAATAGTTTGGGGGCCGAAATATGACTTGAGCCACCTCAAAGATTTGAATTGGTGGGAAAGAGAACCGAGAAAGCAGCTATCCGTAGTCTATTGAGTACAACGCCATCAAGATAATTCTGTAAACCATGAGGCACGAAAATTACTTAGAAAATCGCACTTGGCTGATCATCTGCTAGCATTCCGACTATTCCTTATCGGCAAGATGGGTCCACCTTCCGACTTCCCCGAAATTATCTCGCTCCTAGCCAGCTAGATCAAGGAGAGTCATTAAGTCAAGGCACCATAATGTAAGAGAGCAGTCCTGCCAATTCTCTAGATGTGGTCGATTTTGCTTGACTTCAGCTTGCCAGGATGACGACGCCTATACACTCTCCTCGTCCAAGTTCTTTCGCTTCTTCACGGAATATTTTATCCCCGGCTCTTCAGCACAACGACCTGAGAGATGACGCTCTCTGGGAAAAGATCCATCGCATTTTGGCATTTCGAAAGAATGTCGCTCATATGGTGAATCGGAGGGATTCTATCAGTACCAAGCCCAGAACCAGAGAGCCTCCCACCACCAGGCCCATCAGCCACACACCAATCAACCACACGCCAATCAATCACACGCCTATCAACTACACACCAATCAAATCCATGCCTATCAACCCCATGTCTATCAACCATACACCTATCAACTACACACCAATCAACCCCATGCCTATCAACCATACACCTATCAACCATACACCTATCAACCATACACCTATCAACCATACACCTATCAACCATACACCTATCAACCGCACGCCCATCGACATTGTCAGTGATGGTGTCAGTGACGAAAATGATTTTCTTGACAATGTTATTTTCTTGGTAAATGATGACTCGACTAGCTACCATGACTATCGTCATAGTACGATTAAGCCCAGGAATTCTGGCTTTTCAGATGATAGAGTCTTGAGCGAAAGTGTCACGCTAGCGGACCGCTCTAGCGGATCAGCGAATGACGCTGGATATAGCGCTAGCGCTTCTATCGACGATGAATCATCAAAATGTAAGTCGGACCCAGGTGTGAAGCCCTTACCGAGAAGCGCCCATACCCCTGGGCTCTGCTGGGTGTGTCGCCGCCCATTTCAGCTTTCTACTGAGTTCCAAGACAATTGGAAGTGCTTCCATCAACCCGTTGTCAGCAACGACAGTGAACTTCCGCCACCGAAGAGGTTTACCGCAGAGGATCAGCCCGCCATGCATGCTTGCTGTTGGGAAATCACTTGCAAGGTCTTTGAGTGTTCAAGTCTGAACATGGCTCGTCGCGAAGATTTGATCCGCTGTCTCTATTACATGAGCAACTTTGCTGAAATCACTCCTTTTGACTCCGAGACTAATGCTCTTGATTTGGAGCTATTCACTGATCCAGACTCTGTACCTTCTCCACCGGAAGAAGAGAATTCTCAACTTGAAGTTCTTCTTTCTGAAGTTCTAGGATTGCTCCATGAAAAAGATGGCCCAATTGGAATCGATAAGCTACAGAAAATCGACCCATGCTTAGCGCAGTGGATGAAAATGGCAAATTCGTATTCTATCAGGATGAGCCGGTGTCCAAATGTGAGACTTCTCTTGCAACGCGTGGTGAAAAATCTCAGGCAAAGTGATGCCTCTCGATTTCCGAAGGCATACAACTTCCGCGTGGCATGGTACAATGTCCAAGGGGTGATTGATGCCATGGAAAACATACCTCAGCCTAGGATGATCTTGCTCGATTCTCGAATGAAGGGTCGGGGACAATACGCCAGATAGTTGTTAATCTGGACTCCGCAATTTGGGGATATCTCCTTGATCGCTGTGGTTGGTCAAGTTAATCGACGGAATGCCAAGATGGGGGGGACCAAAAGGGCTAGTATCAGCATGACTGTGACAAAATAAAAAGGTTCATTAACTGATAGTCCTTTGACCAATGAACATAGGAGCGTATCAAAATAAAAAAGATAGTTGTATAGTATCTTAATAGATCGACTTCGTATAGATGTCACAACCTAGTGATAACATAGGGACAGACCTTTGACAGCAAATACAGTTACTAAGTTACAAATCAACCAACGTTCGCCGAATATCACCATGAGAAAACCGGATCAATGATTTGTCTCAATTGTTTGATTGAAATACTGGGTGATTCTTGCTCCTCTTTTACCATATTTAGCAAGTTTTTCAGGATAGGGTCGGAGAGATTCACCAGGATCCACTGTAAATGCACCGGATCATGAGTCTCCATCCCGGCTATCATTAGTGACCATTGGAACCTTTCCAAAAGCTGCACTGGCCCTGTTGCAACAGTATGGAATGCAGTGGTTATGAGATCGCTCAAGGCTTGCTGAATCTCACCGGACACTGGGAGCTGGCCAAAATATGAGTCGCGGCAGCGGTGAAAATATATTTGGATGGCGTGGAAGAACGTGACAGCCACCAGAGCCATGAGTGGCGGGTTTCTTCCTTGTCTTCTGCATTGCACGACAAGACGCGAAAGGGATTCACATTCCTGCAATTCGAGTTCAGTAACGGACACGCATAAGAACAGAATCAGAACTTACATCTTGCGCCATAGCAAGGTTTCTTTTGATCTTCCTCAGTAATCGAGGTGCCTGGCTCTCGGCGGCCTGGCTATAGCAGTTAATATCATGATGTATGGATATTAACTCGAAATAGACATTCAGAATGTGTGCATTCAATGGCCGTTGCGTGCTAGGCATTGCGGAGGCAGTAGTGTGGCCATCTGAAGATGCAAAGATAAATTTCGATAACTGCCAGATTCTATGGCGCTTGTCATGGTTCTCACTCCCGTAGCTAGCGAAAGCGCCTCCGCAGCCAAAGAAACTGCAGAATCCATCCCGGTCATAAAGATAAGTGAGAATTCGTGAGAGGAGCACCGTATCAGCGGACAATGATAAAGAGTCTGCACATAATTCATACAGGCCATGACTCTTGACATAGGTGAGTACGGAAACACTCAGCTGGCACAAGTTCTGGGCATTGAGGGGAGGAATCCTCATCCAGAACATGTACATGTATAAGAACGATAGCATTGTGGCAACATGGTCCGGATAAGTTGCACGAGCCAAAGGGTTAAGTGTCGTGAGAAATATTTCAGAGCCGTATTCAAAATGCCTCCATGACTCCTGTGGAGGATAGTCGGGGGGTCCCAGATGAATGGCCAGTTCGTTATGGGAAACGGCGAGAAGAAAATGAAGAGCCATGGTATTCTGCAATGCGAGGTCAAGGAACAAAACATGTGCCGATGACGCTGCCTCTCGAGTGGATTTGAGAGGTGCGAGCACGCCACGATAAAATGACATCGCCTGTGAATCATTACTCCCAAGCGAGGGAGCATAGTCTGTCCCTGACTCACGGGCGAATAAGATGGCCGCCGGTGTGGCTTGGAAGTTGAGGGGCGGCTGCGGAGAAAGCAAAATAGAGAGTGGTGCGTGGTCCTCCTGTTCGACCGTCTCTATTTCCTGAGCTGGGCCATTCAATTGACTGGTTGTCTCACTGGTACCAAACAAAAGATTGAAGGCCCTAGTCTCGAGGTGGTGATTATGAACGGTGGTCGGTGACTCAATTATGGAGTCACTGATTTCCTCAATCCGGGAAAGGTTGTCTAGGTCCACTGGTTCAGCTTGGCTCTGCGGTATGGGAACAATAGGCGGAGGAGTCCAAGCATCTCGGGTTTTGATAGGACCGAGGCCCCGTCTTCTGGTTGACATGGAAGGTTGATAACCAGGCCATTCACACTGCAGCCCAAGGCGAACACAGCGGCGGCATAGTGGATGTTGTTCGTCACATTTCACTTTTTTGCTAATGCACGTTCGGCAGCCTAGGCCATCTGGTATCAGCCGGGTTCGCTGTGGGTATCGGCACTTGTACTTACCACTCTTGGATCGGGGTCCACGCTCCGTTCGACGCCGACGGGTATTTGCACTGGTTTCCATTTCAAATGAAGAGAGGAAGGGAGAGTGCATCATAGACATCGCTACAAACCCCAGTCGTGTGTGGGTTCTCTTCCTCATGAACCCCGAATTCGGACTTGCATATCCTCTAGTCTCCCCGCAACGACCGAGTTTTGTTGTATGTGGGTGGTGGTGAGACCAAGTCCGTCCGAAGTAATCTCGTCTTTATCTCTCCCGACGCCGATTATTCTAACCAATCACAGTCATCTTCCATTTATTAACCTTAACTCCTTGATAAGGTATTTCTTTCCCTTGGATCCGAAGCTCACGCCCCTCGCAGCCTGTAGTTTTTTTTTCTCTCATAATCCTCACCTGAAGGTCCGACCATGGGAAATACCATCTCTTACACAGCCACAGGTTGTGAAGTGGACCTCCCCAACCGGGGACGTATAAAGGGTCTGCAGTTCGATAACAAGTCACGTAGATTTGCAGGCGTTCCTTATGCGCAACCTCCCACTGGAGACCTTCGATGGCGGAAGCCCCAGCCTCTTCCTGACACCTACAAGTACATGTCCGCCGGAGCTACCCCATACGATGCTACAGAATTTGGGCCCGTTTGCCCCCAGCCAAATTACTCGAAGGTAGTGAGCGAGCATACTCCCAAGCATGTCTATGATGAGGACTGCCTTCGGTTGAATATTTGGACTCCTGTTCCTGATCTCCAAAATCCAAAGAGAAAATGGCCTGTCATGATCTGGTTCCACGGTGGATGGTTCCAGGTCGGGGATCCCAGCCAGGAAGCCAGCATGGACCCAACGGAGTTGATCTCAACTGGTGAGCTCCAGGCTGTTTTTGTTGCAGTGGGATACCGGCTCAACGTCTTTGGGTTTTTGGCCTGTCATTCTCTCCTCGAAGAGTCCGAGGGTACATCAACAGGCAATTACGGACTTTGGGATCAGCGCCTCGCGCTTGATTGGGTTCATAAGCACATAGAGGCCTTCGGAGGAGACTCGACCAATATTCACTTGGCCGGGCGTAGCGCAGGTGCCTACTCGGTTCTCGCTCAGGCCCTGTACGATTTTCGCTCTGCTGGGAGTGATCATTTTCGATCGATGGTCATGTACTCTAATGCGATTCCAACACAACCAAAAACGCCCCAGGAATGTGAAGCCCAATTTGAAGAGATATGCACATACTTTGACGCGCCATCCTCATTAAGCGGAGTCGAAAAGCTTCAATTCCTGCGCGGCATAAGTGCCAGAGACCTTTGTGCCGGAATTATGAACCTCGGAAACCACACTTTCCGTCCAGTCACAGACGACATGTTTATTAAACCAGGAATATTTGATTACTACCGAGATGGCTTATTTGCACGAGAGTTCAAGCGACGCGACCTGCGCATCTTCATTGGCGAGGTTCTCAACGAGGAGACCTTATACGCGGCCACAAATTGCCCAGACGCGAATTGGGAATCCCTCCAGCAGCAAGTCGCAAATTACTACCCCTTTCCGACAACGCAACGCCTGCTTCAACATTATCAACTCCCAGAGTCAGACAACAAGCAAGACTGGGCTGATCTGTTCGGAAAGATTGTCTCCGATGGTCAAGTTAGAGCTCCATCGCGACACCTTGTCAAGACCCTCGCGGACAATGGCGTCGATATGGGAAATATATGGCGCTACATGATTGCGTACCGACTATCGTTCATAACGGAGCAGATTGCCCCCGCTTCGTTTGGGGTGACCCACGCTATGGACCGGCCTATTTGGAAGTATGTGATAAGTTTCTATGTCCTGCTGCATAGTTTATGCCGCTAACATCCACTGCTCAGCTACTCACTTACACACGGCCCGACTACTGAGGAGCGGGAACTGATGTCAGCATGGATACACGATCTCTGTGCCTTTATCCACGGTATAGATGGCTACTCTTATGGTACTTCTTCTCCGGAACAATATAAGGTCATGACCGGGGAAGGGAAAATTGCTATTCAGAATGATCCGAAATGGGCTGAGCTGATAGGGGTAATGGACCTATTTTCGGGGGAATAGATCCATGGATACATACCTCTTAGGTAATCGTTCGTGCCTTCCAAGATGTCCTACCTCTTTCGTTTGAATTAGGCTTTCCACCTATATAGCGATTTATATGATTATCCTTACACGTAACCTGATACATACTGCTGATAGGTGCTTCAATTGCTTCTACCGGCTCAGTAATTAATGCAGATGCTTCTTGAACTGAGAGGCCTTCTTCGGCAGGTATCTGCCTCCGGGATCTGGTGCGCTTTTGCTTCTGCTTCTCGTTGGCGGCGCGTAAATCCTTATTTTCTTTGGCGAATAAGATAGCACCTTGCATTGTAAGACGGAAGCCTTTTACAAGCTGGTTTAATGCACGATCTGACGGGCTAGGCGGGCTTCGAGATCTTGTACGAAGTAAAGCTTTAATTGATGAAGCCTGACGACGTAGTTCTTTCTCCGTAAGGGGGGTTTTTGGAGTAAAATTCCGGCTTGATTCACTACCCTGGCTGGCTGGGGGGGAGGGGGGGGGGGGGGGGTTCGAAGCCGAATATTGAGCTTTAAGATCACTCTCTCCGGTTCAAAAGGGACTAAACCGGCTGCCCCGAAGCTATTTTTGATAGTCTCCGATTTAAATGTTTCAATTCGTGCGAGGGGGTATGCTTCAAGGAAATCAAGCTTATCAATATGATTGATCCCGGTACGCATTTTCATCTCAACCAGCCGGCCATATAATCGTTTTAATACCGCAAAACAGCCAATATCCAGAGGTTGTAAAAGATGGGATGAATGGGCTGGCATACAAATTGGTATCACTTTGTTTTGCTCGCAATTTCGTCAAATTTAGGCGTCAAATGACTTCCGTGGCCATCAAGTATCAAAAGCCGGTATACCCCCTTCGTACGCGAAGTACTAGGAATAAAGACCTTCTCAAGCCACCGAAGTCCAATTTCATCAGAGGTCCAACCATTAGGACTAACTTCGAAGCGCCAATCCCTCGGGAGGTCGTCAAACCATGATTTAATGAAGACTTTGCCTTTAAAAATTATACACGGAGGAAGAGCTCAGCCAGAAGCATTTGTACACTCAATAGCAGTTGTACACTCAATAGCAGTTACCCACTCTCGATTTCCAGGTTGTAAAAGTGAACGCCGACCGTAGTATTCACTCCTCGTAATAACCTTCGCAGTTGCAGTCAACCCCATTGCAAAACCAGTCTCATCGAAGTTATAGATATCATCGGGATCGACTCCAAATTGAAGGATTGTTTTTTGAACCAAATCAAACCACTCCCTAATGATTCTAGGGTCTTCGCATTTCGCACGTTCGTAATTATACCGTTTCGAGAATCGGGAGGAGAGGAGAGGACGTCGTTTCACAAAGTTATATACCCATTTTTCGCCGACCGAAAGAACCGGGGTAATTCCACGCTTTTGAAGCAGAAGATCCGCCATTTCTCGTACCATAGAGGGCCGGGGGGCTGATCCACGAGAATCCATAGAGAGAATCCATTTTTCAAGAGATTCCTCTTCAATTTCAGTCAATTTAGAGCAACTGGCGCGAGAATTCGCGCGGTGTTGTATGCCATCCGTTCGGCGGCGGAGAGTTGTACGCGGGACATTAAAGGTACGCGCAGGAAGAAAAATAGAGCTAATATCTCTATTTTTAATAGCCTGGATAGCTAGTAAATCTATTGAATTTGTAGAGGATTGAGAGCGAATTGGTGGCATAGTGGGTGGTTGAACTAACTAAGTGCTAATTCATGGACGCGTTCTTAGGTGGGGCGGCCACTCGCTTACAATGGCCACTCGCTTGCCGAATGTTACACGCGATCAGAGTTGTCAGGACAGACGAAGTTTCGTTGCACTGGGATATTTATCCAGGAGAGCAGGAACTCATTCAATTCAAAGTTGCAGCCTCATAAGATTATGAATCATAGGTATTTCATTTAAACACTTTGGATTTTCGTTTGAGAATTCACTACTAATGGGAAGGGTAAAGGTCGCCCCAGGAACAAGCCAGTAGGCAGTATCAAAAAATGGCGGCCTGAGTTGATATTTGACCAAGGCAATTGAAAAAACTCGCATGCTCTGTCTACAGCATGAACAGTAAGATTTTTTGAACAGCTATTTTTACTACGCGTAAAATGGAAAAGATGAATTCGTAATAATAACAACAACTGCTGGCTGTGATATCTTTGCAATTGTGGGGCTATCACGAGACAAGAAATAATAAGTTGTGATCGGTGATGATGGGCAAAAACGACATTGATCAATACAGCAGTGTGTAACCGGGTGAATTTTATTTTGACCTCTCAGCCCGGTCATTTATTACCCTGGACAGCCAGTGTAAAAAAATGCGTGGAGTGGCTTCTGGAATAGATCCACTCAACATCTCCGCTCGGCCTCCGCCGATTAGATAAACACCCCTCAGGAACTGGCTCCGGAAAAGATTGGCCGTGATCTAGATCAACGAAAATATTAGCCCCACAGGTATAGGAAGTGGTCAAACATGTGTTGATGCTTTGTGTATAAGTCGTGAACTTTTTCCACTGTGCAGAAGCCCGGGCTGTGTGCCCGGGCTTCTGTGCCCAATCTCTCGATCCTTCCGGGAGCTTGATGATAGGCTAGCTAAAGTGATAACACCAGACTATTAACGAAGTCAATATTTTTGGAAATTTCGGGGGTTGTTCTATCTTCCTCGGGTAATTAAGGATGAACCGGTCCGCGGATCAAAATTGAAACAATGAACTGTCCCAGGGGTATTTACCTAGATGGGCCAAACCAAGCCCTTTCAATCACAAAGAGTTCCGAAGCCTGGACGATCTAGTCATAGTTTGATGTTGGAGCATACATGTAGGCTATCGCATCAGTCAGTACAGAGATCGGAAAGGAATCCTGTTTAGTAGACAACACATATTGTTTCCCATCGTTTGAACGTTCACTTTGATAGAAAAATAAGTGTTGCTGCATCGAGTACGATTGACCGGATCAATACAACTCTACCATCCTGAGCCTAAGCCAATATATCATCGGGAGAATAGCTTTCGTAGATCGTCAGAGCACTAGCTTCTGCTTTTGGTGATATTTTAATCGTGTGAACATTGTGAAAATTTGAGAGATTGATTTCTCACTTTCTTTTTGCCAATTTGCGAGTCCTGTTCAAAGTCAGCACGTCTTAGTGTAGAAGTGTCTGCGTGATGGCCCCACACCTCAGAGTGTCGGTGCTAAATAGACGGCGGCACAGGCTGCTTGGCAAGTCCCGAAAGCCGAGTTGCATACAATGACGGAGGCAGGTGCACTAGTACCCATAGTAGCTCCCCAGGTGAAGCCTGCTGCCGAGTAACAAGCCATGACAACAGTGGCACATCCTGCTTGGCAAACCCCGTAGGCGGCTGGTCCGGCAGATACAGCAGAGATGAAGAGTAGGAGGTTGGCATAACTAACGCTCTAGCCTTTGAAGTCACGTGACGTCGCGTTCACCGTCGCGTCCCTCTCCTCTCTCTTTCTCGAACCACCCTCTCCAAAGTCAACATGGTGGTAGACAGAGGACTGTGTCATGTCAGATCAAATAAGATCGAGGTTAATTTTAGAACACCCTATCGGGGATGGCCTGAGCAGCTTCCGTGCCACGTTCACCTCGATCTGTGAAGGCGCGGACTTGCGCTCACCAGGTGAGGCCATCGATCGGCTTAAGCGGGAGGGTGAGGCATAGAAATCCACCACGAATCCTCCTTTTTGCTAACTAAGGTGCAGATGTGCAAGATCTCGCCTCCAGCCTCCTAACAGCCCTTCAGATCCTTCCCACCGCCCGTCTTCTGCCGTCCAGTCCCGACCCTATCCTTTAGTTGTATACTATATACTTCATAGTGTTCGCAAACTATAATCATTCCTAGGCTGATGAAAGAGGATTTCGAGTTGAATCACCAAATGCGTCGAGCTCATGTTAGAAAATACATGCACATCTATCCTGCAAATGGATAGCATTTGATAAACCCCGAAAAGCTTGCTCTACAAAATGGGCATGCATTTTGATCAAGTCGTTCTGCGCATGTCTCACAAATCATATGCCCGCATAATAAAATATGCCAACAATCCGGCTGCTTGTAGCATATTTTGCAGTCCAGAATGCGTCGTCGGGAAAGCTCCTCTTGATGCTGGTCTTCCTGTTGGAGAAGTTTGCTTTGAAGTTCCTGGACTTGCTTTTGCTGCTTTTTAACTTCTTGCTCGAGATTTTCAACCTCCTGATCGAGATTTTCAACTTCTTGATCTCTTTCGTCAAATGCCTTACGCAGTCTCTTGAAACAGGTATCCTGGTCCATCATTAGCTCAGGAAATCGGAGTTTCTTGGGAGGGAAGGTTCTACCAGAGTGTCAGGGTGTTTTCTCTTGGCCCTTTTGCGTTTGCGGGATGGTTCTATGCTACCACTCGTAGCATCGTTTGGTTCAATTGGGGTCTCAAGAGATGTACGTGGAGGCGTCCTTTGGGCCTGTGAATTGCCTGACCGCCAGCTCGGGGGTAGTTCGTCATCCTCAATAAGAATCGTGCTTCAAGGGCTGGTCATTGTGGCTTTAAAAGAAGGGATGTGTACCTAGGTGCTAGGTTGACCAGGTGGGAGGAAAGTAGAAGTTTGACTGAGTCAGAGTTGGGGCACAAGGCTCATTATATACCAGAGAGCCAGCAGCTCGAGTGGGCTACTGCTAAGAAACGTGTGGACACTACTTTGCGTGATTTATCGTGCATATATATACAACCCGATTATATTGCACAAAACTGAAATAGCATACATAAAACGTCAAGTGCTGAGTCGGGTACATTCATGGCCGGTCTATTCTTGTTGCTGAAGTCCCTGCACCGGATTCGAGCATGGCCAGCGACTCCGCACGCGGTGCACATCAGAAGCATGGCGTTGGAAAGCCATTCGATGTAGCAAGCCTACTTCACACCAGCTGTATTTGAGGGGTTCTTCTTTAATATGAATAGCATCGAAGTGGCGCGTAACACACCCGGGGTTGTGAAACATCTGAAAGCTAA